CCAAATAGCTAAGCCCTCTGGTCTTCTGGGTGTGGCAGCGTTTCCTCCAGAATGCATCTGCCAGGAAGTGGCAGGCTACGCTGCCAAGCTCCTGCTCAGCCGGACCCGCGCCAGGGAGCTTCCTCCACAAACCGGTTTGGGCTGGCCTCTTCCCTCCTGGCAGGGGGCAGCCTCGGCTGACCCAGGCTTGGGGCAGCAGCAGGAAGGTAATGCTCAAAGCATCCATCAAATGTGGAAGTGCATTCCTAGCCTGGGGTCCAGCCTCAGTGTCAGGCAGGTGCACCGAGGCCACCCGGGCCTGGGCTGGCATCCTGCTTCTGCCCATTTCTACCTTGACTCCAAGGCCTACACTGTTTCTTTCAGGCAAGGAAGGTAGCAAGAGAGGGAACTCTAGCCTTCCTCTTTGCTACTCAGCTGTATCTTCTTTGATGTCAGCTTCTCCTGGAAGAACCCAGTGTGGGACACGGATGGGTCCTATGGTGGCACTTGAAGGCTCCTGTGTCCTCATTTAATGGAGGATGCAACCACCACCTCCCTCAGTCTCCCTGGCTACTGCTGGTTTCCTTAGACCTCAGCCACCTGAGCAGCTAGGATTACAGGTGTGAGCCACCAATACTGGGTGTTTTGTTTTTGTTTTTGTTTTTTTCTAGAAAAGGAATCTACCGGGCTGGGAAGATGGCTTAGTGGTAGAGCGCTTGCCTTGCATGCACGAGGCCCTGGGTTCAATTCCTCAGCACCACATTAGCAAGAAAAAGCTGGAAGTGGAGCTGTGGCTCAAGTGGTAGAGCGCTAGCCTTGAGCTGAAGAGCTGAGGGACAGCGCCCAGGCCCAGAGTTCAGGCCCCATGACTGACAAAAGAAAAAATAAAAAAGGAATGAACTATCTTTAAGGAAAATGTGGAACAGAAAGACGAGGTAGGGTGAAACTATCTGTAGCAAACACAGCAGCAATTTCAATGTGTTTCCTCTCACTGTTTCTACTGCAGGGCAAATCATCCACATCAAATGTGTACCATCAAGAATTTCACTTTGCACACATGCGCACACACACACACACACACACACCACCTTAATGGTTTCATTTGTTTTGGGGACCCATGGCGGGAAGAGTGGACAGGTTTGGGTCTCAGCCCCCACCCCAACACCAGCGTCATTGTTTTATCTTTCCTCAGAGGTAGGAGAGCTATCTATCTTCAGGTAATCCAGGGGTGTGGTGTGAAGTTTCTTTTTAGGTTCCCTTTTTCTGCTCTTGGGGACGCAGTTGCTTCAGCTACATCTACTGAAAAGCTGATCCGTTTCCACCCTTGAGCAATGTCACCTTTGCCATCAGTCAAGTGACCTCACAGGAGGGGGTCTATTTCTGGAGTCTCTCTCCTGTCCCATTGCTCTACCTGTCAATCCTTCTGCCAGTTCTACGTTGTATTAATTATGGCTGCTCTATAATAAATCTTGGTCTATTTTTAGTATACTCCTCCCTCTTCGTTCTCTAAGATCAGCTAGCTATCCCTGGTTCTCTGTGTTTCTCTGTACATGGTAGGATCACTGTGGCAGTTTCTGCCAAAAGAAACATGCTGAGACTGAAATAAATCTGTAGGTTAATTTGGGAGTAATTGACATCCTCACAGGATTAAATCTGCCAAGCCATGAACACTCCTTAATAATAAGGGTTTGTACTTTTCAGTGTTTTCAGTGTACTTTCGCATAGCTTTTGTTAGATTTATTCCAGGCTATTTGCTTTTTATAATGTAAAGTTACATGGTATCTTCTTACTTCATTTTCTGTTTGCTGGTTGTAGTACATAGAAATTCAGTTCACTCTCTGTGTGTTTGTGTGTGTGCATGCCCGTGCACATGTGTGTGTGTGTGTGTGTATGTATGTGTGTATGTGCTCACATATGCCTGTCATGGAGCTTGAACTCAGGGCCTGGGTGCTGTCCATTAGTTTGTTGTTGTTTTTTGTTGGTCATGTGGCTTGAACTCTGGGCCTAGGTGTTGGCCCTCAGCTCTTCATCTCCAGGGGAGCACTCTACCACTTGAGCCACAGCACCACTTCTGGCTTTTTCTGTTTATGTGGTACTAAGGAATCGAACCCAGGGCCTCATGCATGCAAAGCAAGCACTCTACCACTGAGCCACCTTCGCAGCCCTATTAGTTTTTTTCCACCCAAGGCTGGCACTCTACCACTTGAGCCACAGCTCCACTTCTGGCTGTTTGGTGGTTAATTGGGGATAAGGGTCTCTTACTCCTTCCTGCCTGGGCTGGCTTCAAACTGTGAGTCTCAAATCTCAGCCTCCTGAGTAGCTAGGATTACAGGTGTGAGCTGCCTGCACCTGGCTCAGACAGCTCTACTTTGTGTCAAAGTATGTCTCTATTCACAGACTGAGGCAGGAGAGAGACAGGCCAGCTCACGTATCCAGGGACGGATGTGAATGAGCTTTGCAGAATGCACACCATCTGTGGCAGAAGGCAGAGGCCCTAAGGGAGAAGGTTGGCTTTTATCTAACCACGAGGACTCTGCACCCTGGATACAGAGTGAGGTCCTTGGGACCCAGAACTCAGAATGTAGGCATGACCCCTTAAGAAGTAAATGTGAAAATTTGCGATCCCAGACCTCTGCCTGCCTGAGGACCACCGTCTGGAGGCCCTGAGCTTAGAGACGAGTGCCAAGAATGGCAGCATAGCAAGAGAAAGAGCCATTGTCTGCAGGAAATCTGCTTACCTAGCACTCAGTGAACCCTGGGAGCTGTCTGCCATGACCTGGCCCAAGAGGTGAACATCGAGGCCCAAGTTCTTCAGGTAACTCCGTCCAAGTGGCTGCAAATTAGTGGCAGACGCTCCCTGAAATGGCTGCACTTTGAACAATTGAAGGCACCGCTTTGAAGGAATGGCGGAGAGACTCGAAAAGTAGTGGACAGTCCCAGAGGCCTGCTGCGGATTCACGGTGGCCGTTCCAGCCCTTGCCTTTCTCAGTGGACACCAGCCGCCTCCCAGGCCTGCCATGACCACCCCAGACCCTGTGAAAGTGACCAAGACAGTGATGGAGCCAAACGACAAGCCAATGGCCTGCACAGCAGAGCTGTAAGCAGACGAGTCACAGATGGCGTCCAATCAGGAAGCACACGAAGTCATGAGCAGCAGTGTATACCTGAAGCCTCAGCTACTTGGGATGTTAAGGCAGGAGAATCACGTGAGCCTAGGAGTTCAAGTCGAGCCCAGGCAATACAGTGAGACAAAGAAAGAGAGACAAGAGACAGAGAAAGGGATAGAGAGAGAGAGAAGGATGAAAGGATGGATGGATGGAAGGAAGGAAGGAAGGAAGGAAGGGAGGAAAAGAAGGCAGGCAGATGTTTTGTTTCTTGAACTTGGGAAGTGATACTGAGAACTAGTGGCTCACGCCCATAATCCTGGCTACTCGGGAAGCTGAGATCTTAGGATCATGGTTCGAGTCCAGCCTGGGGAGGAAAGTCTGTGAGACTCTTATCTCCAATTAACCACCGGAAAACCTGAAATGGTGCTGTGGCTCAAAGTAGTAGAACACTAGCCTTGAGCAAAAAGAGCTCAGGGATAACGCACAGGTCTGAGTTCAAGCCCCATGATGGATGAAAGAAAGAAAGAGAGAGAGAGAGAGAGAGAGAGAGTGAGAGAGAGAGAGGGAGGGAGGGAGGAAGGAAGGAAGGAAGGAAGGAAGGAAGGAAGGAATTGGGAAGCGACCTTTCCAGGTGATGTGAGAACCCACTGGGCTGTTTTAAGTCCTTCAGATGGTGTCCGACCCTGTCTTCCATCCATAAGCAATATCCCAGGCCCTGGGCTGTCCCGAAGGCAAGACAGGAGCAGCTGTTTGGAAGTCCCTGTTCCTCCCAGCTTCCCGGTTTGTCTCTCACATCTGTGGCGGCCTGAATCACTGCTTACTGTGGATGGTGCTGAGACCTTAGACCACAAATCAGCCAGGGACTGACCGGCCAGGCTTGACTGCAAGTCATGTTGTGTGTCCTCAGAGCTCTGGGCAGCTCTGCTGCTGCCTTCCCCCGAGCTATCCCCAAGGTTCAGGGCCTGGGGACCTGACGGGCCTTTCAGGTCTCCCTGTGCTAGGACATGTCATCTCAGCCTGAGCAAGATAACTGCTGGACTTTTTATGAGTGTTGTGTGATCCATTAACAGGTTGTTTGTGTGTTTAGTTCAGTTATCCTGGGACAAACCAGAGTTGACTGTGATAAACAAACACAAAATCTAACACGCCGTTGGGTGTTGGTGGCTCACGCCTGTAATCCTAGCTACTCAGGAGGCTGAGATCTGAGGATCACAATTCAAAGTCAGCGCCGGAAAGGCTGAAACTCTTTTTTTTTTGTCGGTCATGGGGCTTGAACTCTGGGCCTGGGCGCTGTCCCTCAGCTCTTCAGCTCAAGGCAAGCGCTCTACCACTTGAGCTACAGCGCCACTTCCGGTTTTCTGGTGGTTTACTGGAGATAGGAGTTTCACAGTCTCTCCTACCCAGGCTGGCTTTGAACCGAGATCCTCAGATCTCAGCCTCCTGAGTAGCTAGGATTACAGGCGTGAGCCACTAGCGCCCGGCTAGTAAGGCTGAAACTCTTATCTCCAACAAACCACTCAGAAAACCAGAAGCGGTGCTATGGCTCAAGTGGTAGAGCACTCGCCTTGAGCTGAAGAGCTAAGGGACAGTGCCCAGGCCCAGAGTTGAAGCCCCAAGACCAGAAAAAAATAAATCGAACACACCACCAGCCTGGGCTTGCTAGCTTTGCTTAGGGTTTTCTCTGCAACACCCCTCTGGTGTTGGTTTGCGTCTTCCCTAACTTGTGCTCATCCATGCACATGGAGAATGGAGGCCAAGCTGTCCTCACAAAATGCCTCTGTTTGCCTTCCTCCCCTTTGTAACTCGTGGACAATGGCCCGGTGTTTGTGATGGACTTTGGATGTTATGAAAACACCCCCTACCGGAGGCTGGTTGTTGGGGGGGGGTTTGGCACTCACCACAGCCCCCTCCTGCAGGTACCATGTTTCGCAAGAAGAAGAAGAAACGCCCGGAGATCTCAGCCCCACAGAACTTCCAGCACCGTGTCCACACCTCCTTCGACCCCAAAGAGGGCAAGTTTGTGGGCCTCCCCCCACAATGGCAGAACATTCTGGACACGCTGCGGCGGCCCAAGCCTGTGGTGGACCCTTCACGCATCACGCGGGTACAGCTGCAGCCCATGAAGGTGAGGAGCCTCTCCCCGCTCAGGCAAAGAACCCCTTGGTGTCCAGCATTGGTGTCCCTCCAGTGTCCCCCGCTGGTTTGTCTCGTTCCCCAGGGATTCTTCCTGAACATAGCAGTAGGAATGCCACATTTACTCATAAGATACAAAGTGCCCACTTAAATCTGAATCTTATAAAACAATGAATAATCTTTTAAAGATGACGATGACGATGATGATGATGTGCCGGTACGAGGTCCCGATCTCAAAGCCTGAGCGCTGTCCCTGAGGTTTTTCATGCAAGGCTAGCGCTCCTACCCCAGGAGCCACAGCTCCACTTCTGGCTCCCTGATGATTAATTCAAGAGGAGAGTCTCCCAGGCTGGCTTTGAACCGTGATCCTCAGATCTTAGCCTGTTCAGGAGCTAGGATTACAGGCGTGAGCCTCGGGAGCATCCGGCAACAATGACTAGTCTATTATATCCCATGCAATATCTGCACCAGGGCATCCGGGTACTCTTCTGTCCTCACACACATCTAGAGAAAGGAGGTGCACGCCGGCCACCCAGACACAGTTTACCCCGTCTTGTCTCTTCCTTCACAGACGGTGGTGCGGGGCAGCTCTGTGCCCGTGGACGGCTACATCTCAGGGCTGCTCAACGACATCCAGAAGTTATCCGTCACCAGCTCCAACACCCTGCGTGGCCGCAGCCCCGCCAGCCGGCGGCGGGCGCAGTCACTGGGGCTGCTGGGCGACGAGCACTGGGCCGCTGACCCAGACATGTACCTCCAGAGCCCACAGTCCGAGCGCACCGACCCCCACGGCCTCTACCTCAGCTGCAACGGGGGCGCACCCGCAGAGGCCCGGCAGGCAGCCTGGCCCGAGCCCCAGAGCCCACAGGGCCTGCCCAGCCGGCTGGCCGCCAAGGCGCACTCCCTGGGCCCCACCGAGTTCCAGGGCTCTGCGCAGCGCTGCCTGCAGACTTCCCCCACGGCCGTGGGGCGGCGCGCGGCGAAGGCCGTCAAGCCTGGCCCCGAGGAGGCCCGGCCGCAGTCCTGCCTGGTGGGCTCGGGTGCCAGCAGGCCGGGCGGGGAGGGCAGCCACAGCCCCAAGGCCCAGGACAGCAGCCTCAAGCACAGGCTGTTCCGGAGTATGTTCCTGTCCACGCCTGCGGCCGCCCCTCCCAACAACAAGCCAGGCCCCCCACCACACAGCAAGGTAGGTGAGGCTGAGGCGGCCGGGGTGGGGCTGGGAGGCAATCTAGCACTTCCTAGATACCCTCAGGTAATGGTGAAACCATTGAAACACACACATGCGCACACATGCATTTCCCACGCACACACACGCACATCCATGTGTATGCATACATTCACATACCTGCACACATGCACATGCACGCACACATGCATACTCATTGCATGGACATGCAATACACACGTGTGCATGTGCACACCCACACCTGAAGACACATACACATGCACACATATACACACACATGCCCATGCGCGCACACACACACATGCACACACACATCCCAGAACCACTGCCTTAAACAAGTTCCCACGGAGACGGGAGATCATTAGTCTCCCCAGCACCAAGGCCAGCCCCCGGCCAGCACCGGCACAAGCAAAGGCCCGGTGGCTGCAGCTGAGGTACCGCCTGTGGTCACGGGCTTTGGTTAGAGAGCAGCGCGTGTGTGGGGAGGCAGAGGTGAGACTCGCTGCCTGCCGGGGGGAGGCACGGCCAGCTGGAGAGCCAGCTGGGACTCCCCCCCCCCAAGCTGGGAGTCACAGCTGTCTGCGGTCCCCCGCCCACCTGTGCCCGGAGCCTCTGCCCCAGCTTCTTGGTGCAGAAGGAAGGGCCCTGCCTCAATGTAGTCCCCCTGGGGTCTGTCCTCCCAGTTACCCAAGAAGAAACGTGCGGCTGAGGGCGCTCGGGAGCGTCTGGGGGGCGGGTAGGACTGCCAGTGGCCTCAGCTGCATTTCTAAATCTGTGCTCCCAGCTCCTCCCTTGGGTCTGGAGCTCTCCCTGACCCTGCTCTCCCTGGCCACCCCAGCCTCTGCAAGGCTTGCACAGCCTCACCCCTTCTCGTGTCCTTCTTTGTCTCCACAGCCCAACTCCGCTTTCCGACCGCCACAGAAAGACTCCCCACCAAGCATGGTGGCCAAGGCCCAGTCCTTGCCCTCAGATCAGCCCGCGGGCACTTTCAGTCCTCTGCCCACCTCGGACACCAGCAGCCCCCAGAAGTCCCTCCGCACAGCCCCAGCCGCCGGCCCCCTCCCAGGCCGGTCTTCCCCGGCAGGGTCCCCCCGCACCCGGCACGCCCAGATCAGCACCAGCAACCTGTACCTGCCCCAGGACCCCACGGTGGCCAAGGGCGGCCTGGCTGGTGAGGACACGGGCATCGTGACGCACGAGCAGTTCAAGGCTGCACTCAGGATGGTGGTGGACCAAGGCGACCCTCGGCTGCTGCTGGACAGCTACGTGAAGATCGGGGAGGGCTCCACGGGCATCGTGTGCCTGGCCCGGGAGACGCACTCCGGCCGCCAGGTGGCCGTGAAGATGATGGACCTCAGGAAGCAGCAGCGCAGGGAGCTGCTCTTTAATGAGGTAGGATGCCACGATGGACACAGATGGACATGGGGATGGACACGATGGACACGGTGGGGAGGAGGGCAATGCGTGCTCAAACAGCAGGACCTCTCTGCAGGGGGGGTAGCAGGTGGTCCCATCCGGGGAACATAGTGAGACCAGGTGTCTGCAGCTGTGTCCCTAGCTCACAGGCACCGTGCTGCTCTGCTGCCCCCAGGTGGTGATCATGCGTGACTACCAGCACCTCAACGTGGTGGAGATGTACAAGAGCTACCTGGTGGGTGAGGAGCTGTGGGTGCTGATGGAGTTCCTGCAGGGCGGGGCCCTCACCGACATCATCTCCCAAGTCCGGTGAGCAGCTGGTGTCTTGGGCTGTGGGGGGGGGGCACCTCACCGATCCCTCGGGTCATTTGAAGCCCCCTGTCTGTCTGGGGTGAGAGGCTCACTGGGTCTGGGAGGAAAGCTGTCCAGGCTACAGCCTGATCAGGCTGCTGAACGCATTGCCTGGGACCTGTGAGGCCCAATGCCAAGGACTCTCCATCATAGCCCTGAATCCCTGCCACAGCCGACTTGCTCCTCCACTGGGGACTCCTGCCTTCCCCTGCCCCTGCCTCCCCCTACCCCTGCCTCCCCCTACCCCTGCCTTCCCCTACCCCTGCTTTCCCCTACCCCTCCCTTCCCCTTCCCCCTGCTTTCCCCTACCCCTGCCTTCCCCTACCCCTGCTTTCCCCTACCCCTCCCTTCCCCTTCCCCCTGCTTTCCCCTACCCCTGCCTTCCCCTACCCCTGCCTTCCCCTACCCCTGCCTTCCCCTACCCTGCCTTCCCCTTCCCCCTGCCTTCCCTGTCCAGGCTGAATGAGGAACAGATAGCCACTGTGTGTGAGGCTGTGCTGCAGGCCCTGGCTTATCTGCACGCCCAGGGTGTCATCCACCGGGACATCAAGAGTGACTCCATTCTGCTGACTCTGGACGGCAGGGTAGGCTCTCCCTACTCCTGGGCACGGCTGCCCCCCCCAACTCCTGGGCTGTCCAATCACTGTGCTTTCTTCTGGTCCTCCACCCACTGACTCCCCTTACCACTCCAGGTGAAGCTCTCAGACTTCGGATTCTGTGCTCAGATCAGCAAGGATGTCCCCAAGAGGAAGTCCCTGGTGGGGACCCCGTACTGGATGGCTCCGGAAGTGATCTCCAGGTCTCTGTACGCCACTGAGGTAACCCTCCACCCACCCCCAGGTCCTCCAGAGCAGCTTGGGCGCGTGGAGCTCTTTTGCTCCACCCTTCGGGAGCTGCACCAAGAGCCGCGCTTCTCAGGGCCCCCCTTAATCAATACTCACCCCCGACCCTGGGCAGCACCAGGGATGCTAGCTGTACCCATGAGACAAACCTCTAGCCTATTCCCCCTCCTCCCCCTGGTTATTTTTAGATAAGGTCATTTTTCATTCCAGCCTGTGCCTAGACCAGGATTCTCTCGGGGCTGGGGTGACAAACACACACCACTGCACCCAGCGTCTTCCGTGAACATTTTTTTCCCCCAGGCTCACTCGGTCTGGCTCCTCCCATAGCTGGGCTGACACCTCCCGTCCAGCTACTGGCTAAAAAGAAAGCGATCTCCCGTGTATGGCCAGCCTGTCCTCGAACCACCCTCCTCCTCAGCTCAGCCTCCTAAGTAGCTAGAACTACAGACCTGAGCACCGGCTTCGGGTGGGGCTGCTGTCTAGACCTGGCTGGCACACGGGTCTGCAGCAGTCCCTCATTCCAGGGACACAGTGGGGTGTCAGCAGCAGCCCCGTCAGAGAGGGCGGACAGCGCTGCCACTGCTGGAGCCCCTGGGAGACGTAGCCGAGCACCGGGCAGCGGGCTGGGGAGCGGCGGGCCGAGGACCCGTGCGCCCCCACCACCCAAGCCGGACTCCCGCCACGGGCTCAGGGCTGGGCTCTTCCCGCAGGTGGACATCTGGTCTCTGGGCATCATGGTGATTGAGATGGTGGACGGAGAGCCCCCCTACTTCAGCGACTCGCCGGTACAAGCCATGAAGAGACTCCGGGACAGCCCCCCACCCAAGCTGAGGAGCTCCCACAAGGTCAGCGGTGCGCAAGCTGTGACCCCCACAGACCCCATGGTTCCTGAGGCCGGTGTGCTGGTGGGCCCAGCATCACCCCTCCACTGCGGTCCCCACAAAACCCGTGTGTGCAGCCGTGTTTCCAGGCCCCCTTCCCCCGCCAGTCCTGGGAAGCAGCACAAACCCCTCTGCTTCATCTGTCAGGCCCACCCCAGTGCGGTGAATCCCCAGCCCAGCTCTCCACCCCTCCTCACAGGTCCACCCCAGGCTGGCAGCTAGACCGACTGCTGGGAGGCACTGCTGATTAGTATGCCAGAGCGTAACAGCACCCTGAAGGCTGGAGGCCTGTGCACACGCCCGACAGTCCAGGACTGTGGGCTGGGCTGACCCGCAGAGCACATCTTCCAAGACTAGTGGCCACAGAGGAGAGAGAGGAGACTGACAATTGGTTAACAGCCCAGAGAGGGTGGCCTTGAGCAGCAGCCCAGGACCCAGCTCAGAATGAACCCAGATAAAGTCGCGCCCCAGACTCTAAGGCCTAGGGCAAGATGGCATTCTTCCTTCTGAGGGCCCACCTTTCTCTCTCTCTCTTTTTTTTTTTTGCCGGTCATGGGGCTTGAACTCTGGGCCTGGGCGCTGTCCCTCAGCTCTTCAGCTCAAGGCGAGCGCTCTACCACTTGAGCCACAGCACCACTTCTGGTTTCCTGGTGGTTAATTGGAGATAAGAATCTCACAGACTTTCCTGCCTGGGCTGGCTTTGAACTGTGATCCTCAGATCTCAGCCTCCTGAGTAGCTAGGATTACAGGTGTGAGCCACCAGCGCCCGGCTCTTTTCTATTTTTCAAGCGCACCTTTTTATCTTCAAGAAAGATACACGGCAGCCTTGATAAACACATGTCCTCAGTACCCACTGTGCAGATGAGGAAATGGAGGTCCCCTAGAACCCCAAGACTGGGTCATGATGCCAGTCCCACACCCTCTCTGCAGAGGTGCAGAGCCCGAGGGCAGACAGCCCTGGGGTGCAGGCAAGGGCAGTGGGCTCTGTGTGGAACCTCGCTCCCCAGAGCCCCGGGTACCCTAACTCCACTGCCGGACAGGACAGGCTTGCAGCCCAGCGGCCAAGCCACGCCGCCCCACCCCCACCGCCCCTTCTCCACAGGTCTCCCCTGTGCTACGAGACTTCCTGGAGCGGATGCTGGTGCGGGACCCCCAAGAGAGAGCCACAGCCCAGGAGCTGCTGGACCACCCCTTCTTGCTGCAGACAGGGCTGCCCGAGTGCCTGGTGCCCCTGATCCAGCTCTACCGCAAGCAGACCTCCGCCTGCTGAGCCCACGGTGGCGCGCACCGCGCCGCGACCTGTGTCCTCGGGCGGGGGGCCCCCCGGGCAGCCAGCCCGCTGACCGCACCGCCTGCCCGGGCCTCTCAGTATTCTCTCCAAAGATTGGCTGTGAACCCCCACCCTTTCCTACCGGGACAGGCCGGACCTGCCCCGCCAGGACCTCGCTCCCGTCCCGGTCCCCGGTGGAGAGAGGCTTCTCGAGGATGCCCTGTCCTTCACAGGGGCATTTCTAAGAAACCCGGAGAGCGCTGTGTGTGGCTGTCTCCCAGGGTCCTGGGGCTCCAGGGCACGGCCCCCCCCCCCCGCTGCTCGTGGGTACTCACTGCTCAGCAGCTCTGGCTTCAGACCTTGGCGTCTTAGAGGGAAGTTGTATTTGCCTGGATCATTCTCCAGGGCACAGCCCCCAGCCCTGTCTCTTCCCACACAGCCTGCTCAGAACTGTGAATTGCCTGGGCGTAGGCCAGGGGAGGGGGAGGGGGAGGGGGAGGGGGAGTGGAGTTGGTGTTCAAAATAGTATCACTTTACAGGGTGGAGAGAACTCTGTGTGTGTGTGTGTGTGTGTGTGTGTGTGTGTGTGTAAGGGAGAAATGTTACCCCAATGGCTAGGGTGCCTCCAGTCAACCCCACAGCCAGATTCAAGATGGCTGCCCCGCACCCCTCCCCCTCTGCCCCTCCCCCCCCACCCCAGCTGGCTCTCCACTCCTGAAGTCCATGTTTTCACCCAACCAGTGAAGCCGTCTGTCTGCGGGGCTCTCAAGGTTTCTGAGCTTCTCTTGTGCTGTGGAGCCAGAGACACGAAGAGCAGGAGTGAATGTCGTCATGTCCTCGTCACCTACGTGGTCAGCTCATCAGGGACCCACATGTCCTCTACAGACACTGACCCAGGGCAGAAGGCAGGCCACCTCCCGGGGTCCCCCCATCTGAGGGAGCCTGCCCTGCTGCCCGCAAGACACCTGCCTTGGGTCCTTCCGGGCCCCCACTTTCCTGGCCCCGGTGAGGCAGGGAATGCCAGGGAGGAGCCCCGTGTCTGCGCCCCATCCGGATAAGATTTTTACATTTCTCTGCTCCCCTAGTGGCCTGCTTTAAGGCGAAGAACTTTTTTTTTTTTAAGGGTCGGAGTTTAAAAAAAAAAAAAAAGCATCCTCCCCAGAAACTTTTGTGAATTGTTTGCACTTGTGCCTGTTTTAAATTAAACTGAATGTTCAAAGCTCTGGGCTCTGCACTGCCTGTGGGGTGGGAGCTAGACCCTCCGGCCCCCCCCCTCCCCACGGCTTGAGTCTGCACAGCAGCAGCCAGACTCCCTGGCAGACTAGGAGCACGGGAAGTGAGGGGCCCTCGAGGCCGAGGACGATGAGGGATGAGGCAGGGCTTCTCCCCAAAGGGAGAAGATACTGGAAGGCACGATGCTCTGTGGTGACCACTTTCTGCACCAGCCTCCTGTCCCCTGCTTCTTTCTTATACTCTGGCCCTCAACTGTCCCATAGGAAGTGGCCTGGAACCCGTCCCTGCCCACTTCTCCCAATGAAGGACAGTGTAGAGTTAGGAGAGCTGGTTAGCAAAGGGAAGCTGGGAAATCCAGGTTGTCCATGCCTCCCCTCCTGACACCCAGCACAGCGGGCGTGGAACCTCCTAGCCAGAAGCAGGGGGCCTGGAAGACCCCTGTACCCCCCCTGCAGCCCCTGGTAACTCACTCCAGGAGCCACCCAGGAAGGATGGGCAGGGAGACCGAGGGCCCCGAAGAGCAGCAAGCTCCAGGGAAAGCAAATGCCTCCTTCCATTCCAAGCATGAAAATGGGGACAAGAGGGAGGAGCGGGGGTCAGACAAGGCAAAGAGAGGCCCAGTCTCGCGGTGGAATGATACCGGGTTTATTCACTACTCTTTGGAGTTCTGTTAGTCCTGCCTCTACAGTTGTCAGTCCAAAAAGGTTTGCACGCATCCTTCAGTGTCACACACGGACCACCGATGAGCTCCAGCAGCCTGCTGGCTCCTCACAACGACAAAGGCAACGATGGGAAAAGCAAAAATCCTTGGCAAAGTCTCTGCCCTGGGGAGATCCGGCAAGGGCCCCCAGCTGACAGTGAAGTTCAAGGGAGAATGGTGACAAGGCGGTTGTAGTCCATGGTAAGGTGTCAGTAAGGACGGATGGCAAAGGCAGTCAGACACACCACTCAGGAAACACCTGCGATTTTCAACCACCATACTTTGGGCAGTTCCACAGACAGGAACCATCTCAGTTGTTTACCCAACAATAATGAGGTGATCCTCTAGGTCACCCAGAAAACCACCAGGGAGATGACAACACCTCCCTGACCACAGATCCCTTTTAAGACAAAACTCTTATATTCTTTCACCATTAAAAACTTCATTGAAATTAAACACCGTTGAAAAGGGAATACACAAGCAAGCGAGGGATCTGAAAGAAAGCAGTTTACACTTGGGGTGCAGATTACTTCCCACTCCACCCTCCCACCCTCTCCGGCTGCTCAGGAGCTCTGGCATTGCTCACCCACCACCCAGACCGGGCACTGAGGAGGGGGCGAATGCTTTGGGAGGAGCTAGGGAAGGGGGAGGGGAGGACAAAACATTTCCAAAAGAAAGGGGGGGCAACCGTCACGGCACCTCATCATCCGCAGGTGTCAGGGCTCAGAAACCCCCGAAGGGAAGAGCTAGGAGTCTGGGAAGCGAGCGTGAGCTCGGGGTGGACATTGCCACACCAGGGCGAGCTGCTTCCGTTCAGTGGCCCCTCGTTTCGTTACTGTGGGGTGACTTCAAGTATCCGGATTTGAGCTCTGACACGGGGAAGAGGGTTCCACGGATAAAAGCGCGCGCAGCCCTAATCCAAATCCAACCCAAGTCTG